TGTGTCTTATTTCCAGCAATAGCATATAAAAATCGTAAAAAACGTACTTTGGACGAGATATATGAAAACGATAATAATGAATCCTTAGAAGAAACAAAACGTAGAAAATTATCGAATAACACAGATACAGCAAATACTTCATGCCCTACTAATTTAAGTGTTACATTCGATACACCATTGGTCAAACGAAAAAGTAATGTTGCAAACAACAAAAATACTTGTATAGGGACACCGCATTCAATCTTAAAAATACGTCAATTAATCCAGAACTCGGCATCCCCTAATATTTCTATTACACAATCTGTTGAAACAAATATACCTGATCCACCATTAGAGAAACAAAAGAAAATCAATAGACAAATACGATTCAGCATAAATAGTCCTGTAAATAATATTAGTCATGAAAGTGTAATTGAAGAACAAATCGAAGAAATAGAAGAAAACGTTTCGGAAGAAATATCATTAAAAAAATCAGATACATTGGAAAAAGATACTGAATTATTCCTAAGTCCAAATACTAGTGATGAACTACACAATGAAACTACTCAACTTTTATCGGATGATAGTTTTAACGATAAAAGCAATTGCTATCCACGACCAAGACCAAGACTTAGACGAAGTTATTTAACTGGAAAAAATACTATGAATACAACTGCAACCAATTCATCCACCACTTCACCAAACTTATTAAATACTTCAAAAGATGCGCCTACGCATTCCACAGAAATGAATAAACAAACACTATCCTCCTCTAGATTGCATAGTTCATTATCTGCTACTATGTATTCTACTATGATTCTTTCTCCTACTAGCAGTATTGATGAAAATACATCGCTCAAGGAAGCTGAAAAATCTTATTCATTAAATCAATTAAGTTCGCCTAATATATCATACAATTATAAAAATGCTATTTCATCTACTCCATTGGTAAAAACTAAACCTATTAAACTCTTAGATGATAATAACGAAGAATTGATGTTTTCACATGAAGAAGAGAAACCTACTGAATCATTTAATAGAAACGAAAGAATGGAAATATCTAACGATTATGATACTACATCAATAAAGGATAGTACTTTAAAAGAAATTGATGAGGATAGTTGTAATGAAGAAAGTGAACATGAATATAAAAGCTTACCTAATTCTCCTGAACGAGAACTAAATACAATTGATTCAAAAGTTAAAAATGATTCTATTGGAGAAAATAATAAATCTAGCAATGGCCTTCTCTCTCAAAAATTGTCAAATGTAGTAAATGTAGTAAATGATTTTGATATTACCGATGATGAGTCATCGAATGATGATAGCAAAATAAAACTAATTTATGAAACATCACCATTAGAAGATGATAACAAAGATAATATAGATTCAGAAACAGATCGTCCTACTAATATTAATCCTCAACCTGTATTACATTTCTCAGATGTTTCTAACATCACTGAAGATGGATCAAATAATAGTAATGATATCAAAGAATATAATAATAAAAAAGAAATTCGAGGAGAGAAAGACAATGTTACTGTTAAAACCAATAAGAGAAATTTGAAGCAAATAGTTAAAATTAATGAATTAAAGCATGTCGAAGATTCTAGCAATGATTCGATTTCAAATGAATTATCATCTCAACAAGTTATCACTCTTCGAGATATGTCTGAGATAAAAGTACAGAAAGAAAATAATATTACTTCATGTACAGTTAAGTTGAATAAAATATCCACAGAAAGTAAAGAGACTACTATATTAGAAGAAGGTATTTCTTCAAGGATGACAACCAGATCTAAAAGAATCAATTCTTCCACAGTTAAGAAAGAAACTATTTCTGTAAAAAGTGTAGATGAATATACAAGTAAGGACATATTAGATGATTCAGAGAATATATCAACTACATCTATGACTCGAAGAACTCGAAGAAGCTCATCTCTCGCTAAGGATATTTTTCCTATTACTAAAATTGACAAAGAATCTGATGAAACTGTAAATGATAATGAATTAACTAGGAGAGTTACACGTCGTGCTTCTTCTGTTCAAAAAGAATTAACGCATGTTTCAACACCGAGATCAAAGCGAACAAGATCAACATCGATTTCTAAAACAACTGATGAGACCAGTGCAAATCTCAGTACATCAAAATTAACAGGAAGAAAAATATTTAAGAAGGAGGAAGAAGACGAGAAAGTAGAAGAAGTAGAAAAAGAAAAAGAAACACCAGTAAGGGGTAGATTAACTAGAAGTTCGTCCACATCGTTAATAACAAAATCCAATAAAGAACAAGAGATATTAACGGATGTTCAACCAAAAAGAAGACGTGGTAATTCGGTACCTAAAGAGTCCACAATAAAAATGACTCAAAAAGAAAAATCTAGTAATGTGATTCCTGACATTCCAGAAGGATCATTAACTCCTACATTGCAATCTAGGAGAAGAAAAAATTCAATGTCATCTAAAATTGTTGAAGACATTTCAAATAGTCCAGCAGCAAACACACGTAGCCGACGTTCGTCGATTCAACCTATACCAGAGGAAATGGAAATGATTTTAAATTCGCCTCAGAATTTAAGTGAAATCAATGAAACTTTATCTAATACTAGAACAAGACGAGCAACTAGTGTAGATTCTTCGTCATTAGATGTGAAAAAGAGAACGCGTGGTATTCGTAAGCCAAGTATCATAGGAGATGCAATTCTAGAAGAATCAATGGAAACTGAAAGTCAAATGGATTCAAAAGTTACAAAAAATACCAGGGTAAAATCTTCGAAAAGAAAAAGAACATTATCCTGCAATTAAAATAAAACATAAATAAATAAATAAATGAATAAATAAAAACAAACGAATCTAATAAAAAAAAAAAAAGAAAATGAGAAAAACATAAATGAATTGTTGATAATAAAAAAGAAAAAGAACAGTTTTTATTCTCACAAATAAATAAAACACTGGACCTTACAGTTGTATTTCCTAACAGTAATATATTTCCATAGACCTGTTAATTACAATCCCATTTTCATTGTTTATTTTTAAATCTCTCTCTATATATATATATGATAGATATATATGTATAGTATAATTCACGCATAGTGTGATTTTGTATATTTATTGTAATTCTAAACAAAATATGCTTCCAGTTATCAAATTTCTTTTGTATACCTCCTTATAATTATTATGTACAATAATTTTCTCTACAATATGTACATATTTTCTCTTATCTCGATCTTGTAGACAAAATAAATACCGTTTTAATTTATCTTATTAACATAAACTGTTAATCTACTGAAAATAATCAGCATTATTGTTCTTGTATAAAACTTTTTCTATATAAAAAATTTCTTTGAAACTATCATTTGATTGAAGCATCAGTTTGTTCATTTTATTGCGGACAAAGAAATCAATTAAAATCTTACATTGATCGATGATTAGATATAGGAAATATATATACAGTTGTTAAAGAAAATGAAAACTAAAAGATACAACAAAATTGATACAATATTTAGTTCTGAAAATTTATTTGATACTGTTGTTGATTTTTCAGTTTGTGATGATAAATACATTTAAAAATATTATCTATACTAAATGAGAAACTTTAATTTATTAATAATTTGAATTTAATAAAGTCTTCTTTTTTATATATTGTTTTTTATTATCTGATAAATATATATATATATATGTTTCATTTATACAAAACATTTGTTTCTTCAAATCGTGAGAATAAAAACTGTTCCTTTATATATATTTATATACATATACGATCTATAATGATTTTAAATAGAACAATCAACGAGATTGTATATAACAAATTATTAAAATTATATATTTCTTTAAATGTATAAATGATAGATACTGTAGTAGCATAGAGGGACCATTTGGAAAAATTACATTTTGTTATTTTCAAGTACGATGATGTACTATTAATATAAGTTTAGAGTAAATTAATTTGTATTATGCTATAAGTTAATTACTATCGTTAGAATGGTAATGGTCATCATTTTGTGAATCTAGGTAAAACTTGCTAAATCTTTTTTTTTTGTTAATGTCAATATCTATATACTACAAATATTTAGTTTGATAATATAGATTTATTAAGCCGTACGAGACGCTTCTCTTCAACTTCATACACAGTTTTCACAAAATCTTGTAAAATAACTCTGTAAATAATTTATTAATATACTTTGGGTATGTGTGTGTGTGCATGTATGTGCGCGCACGCACGCGTGTGTATAGGTGTATTGAAATAATAAAAATATATAAAAAATATATTATAATAATACATAATATTAGAGAAAAATAAATTTCCATTCACCGGCGGTAATACAAATATTAAAAAAAAAGAAAAAATAATAAGAAAACAAACTTACGTCCTATTTACTTTAATTGTAATTTAATATATAACATAAAGAGAAAGAGAAAAATAGAGAACGAAATCTTTTTTAGGCCTTTGAGAAAGATCTATAATAAAAGTTTGTTTTTAAAGAACGATTATAATTAATATTAATATTCGCGCAAATACGTATGATGTTCAAAATCCCTCTAAAAAAAATTTATATATATTGTACATTATATTTTGTACCTAAATATCTTTATTGTTAAACCTTACGCATAAGGTTTAAAAGACCTTCTTATTTGAGCATCATACTATTTTAGTATATCTAGATAATTATTATCATCTGGTATAAAAGCCAACATTAATGGTCTTATCTTTGGCAGTGTCATTATCATTTACTACATGTCGTTGATAAATAAAAAAGAGAGAAAAATTTATTTCCACAATCACCGAGATTCATTTATATCGAATCAGTACAAAGATCATTTGAGTAGATAGTTTGAAACACTGCATTTACTTTGATATATTTCACAAATCTGTTATGTTTTTCTTTATAATCAAAACTTTCATTTGGAGATTTTCACCTTTTCTTTATATAAAAGATAATGGAAAAAGATATATATGAAATATTAATTTTCATTAACTTTGTTCTGATTGTCAATCTAATTTTTTTTAATAACTTACTAATAAATAAGCTTTATATAATATTATTACCTATAAATATATATTTATATATATATATATACCCGGTCAGATACATGATTGTTAATTTCGTCGAAATGATTGTTGAAACCCTGTTGGAATGCAACTCTAAAAGGAAACTGAAAGCAGACGTGTAAGATAAAATATTCAAGAAAATGACGAAAATATTTTTCAATGTGCTTATCTACAACGATATGTTGTACGACAGAATTAACAGAATCGATCCAACCCCAGAAATGTAGCTCTTACTGCAATTCATCATGATAATAGCGCATAAAAAAGGATTTTTTTTCTATTTCTTATTTTCATTCTATTTTTAAGAATATTCATAGATCCTTAAATATAAATATGTACATCACTATTATTAATTTAAGTGCCATGCTTGCGCATACCGAATGATATTCTTTTATAACATACAAAACAATAAATTAAAAGAAAAAAAAACAATTTAGATATCCTCTCAAAGAGCTTATCAAAAAATTTTCGTATGTCAAAGTATTTGTTTCTCTTTGTTTTGTATATATATATATATTTACTTGCTACACTTTATATATCTAATTTCGTTCTTAAATTTTCTATAAATTCAGAAATATTGAAACAATATTGATTATAGAGTAATCATTTTAGAATGAGACAATATTTCTTACTATTATTAAAAATGTATCTATAATAGAGAAGGCAGATAATCGGTTAGAAAATGGTACGATTTTGTTGTTGTAAATTTAAACTCTTGCATTATTCTTTTTGAGTGTTTATAGCAGATGAAAAATGAATTAGTTTTGTAAATCGTACTCTTCCAAAGGCACGTACGGTTTCATATTTGATGAAACTCTAAAATGTATACTATTTTTAGCCCGGTAATAGCATCTAAATCTTTGTAACAATACAATTTGCAGAGATGAATCTTAAATTTAGTAAGAAGTAATGATTTTGATATCATCACAGAATAGTTTAACTTTCTATAAATGTATATATATTATCTACTTTCAATAGAGTAGAGGCAACTATATTAATCGTGTGCAATATTGCGAGAAAAAATTTCTATAAAAATTCGTTAATATCACGTAAGTACTTCTATCGTTACGCGATTAATTTACTAAGAAATAGAAAAAGTATTATCCTTACTAGAAATACTCTGATAATATTCCATACCAAAAAAGATGAGTAAATATATACTTATTATTAATTAAATACGATAGGCACGATGTTTTTGTTTCATTGATGCTTACATCCATCTTTAACCCGCCTTTTGTGTTTTTCTTCATGTGCTTGGAAAGGAGATTGATTTTGATTTCTTCGTTGTCCTTGTATCGGCATGTAACATGGTGCATTATCTATCATTAATTCAGGCGGTGGTGTAGGTAATGCATATGTTGGACTAACTGTATTACTCGAACTACTTGAAGTATTTCGATGCTCATTTATATTATAAGTTGGATCAATAATAGCAGCTACGTTGGGTACTTCTTGTATTTCCTCGATAGGATTATCAAGTGTTTGTATCTCTTCAGGGTCCGGATATTGAGTATAATTTGTGTCATGTCTTCGATTTTTACTTGTAGTATTTTTCAAATCGATCTTATCAGGTCGTTGCGGTCTATCTATTAAAGTATGTTGTTCCAACTGTTGCATCTGTTGTTTTTCTAATTTTTTTTGTCTTGCTCTTTCTCTCGCCTTTCGTGCCTTAGCACGTTCTTTTTCTTGAAGCATGCGTGCCAATTCAGCATCCTGAGCTTCCATCGCAATTTTTTGATCTAATAATAATTGTTCGTTAACTGGAGAATCGTGATTATCTACAGCACCTTCTTCTTCTTCCTGCAATTTTCTTGCCAATTCCTATTATAAACAAATAGAACAATTATTTTACATAAGAAATATCTACACACATGTCTATAAGAATTTAAATTAAATTTATTAAAACATATACTTCATCCTTTTCTTCTTGAATACGTCGTTCAATTTCTAATTTCATTGACAGTGCTTCATCGTTGAGTCTTAATTGCGATCTCATTTTTTCTTGTAACTCTCTTTCTCTTTGATGCTCTTCCCTTTCCCTTTCATACGTTTCCCTTTCCCTTTGATGTTCTTCTCTTTTTTTTAAATGTTCTTCCCTTTCCAATGACAATGCAATTTGTCTTGCCACGACAGCATCTCTTTCTTCCCTTAAAAGTACGATACTTTCTATACATCATTTCCACGATATTATATTTTAACATAAACATATATTTATTTTACTAACTGCTGTTGTATATAACTTTGATATTTCATAGCTTCTAACTCTTGTTCTACCCTTGCTCTTGGAAGATCTTCTCGTACTTGAGCATTGCGCACCTTATTACCAGTATAATGTTCTTTAACTGTTCAAAGAAATAGAACAATTAGTTATACACAAAGAAACACTTTAATATAATTTATCAAAAAAAATAAGGATAACAATAAAAGATACTTGCTTTCTTCATCTTGCAGTCTATAAGCCAATGCTCCATCTTCGTGCACCAACCACTCCCGACATACTGTGACATTACTAGATTAATATGGGTTAACAGTGACAGTTAAAGATATAACGTCAATCTCAAATGATCGACGAAATAAAAAGTAATTAAAAATTATTTGTCGTACCTTCGTTAACACGACCTGCTTTTGGTAAAGTATCCGAACCTAATACAGATTTAGCCATTTCTTATGTTTCCGTTTAACAGTCAGTACTCAACAAGAGTAGATATGTATCTTTGTGTTTACAACCACCTTACCAAAGGCCTACGTTCTTTTCTCTCCATCTTGAATAGAATCGAATAGGTTCATGGTATGTGTGTTTGTGTATTTGTGTAGGTAGGTATGCTGCAGTACATTTAATGCGCGCGCGTACGTAACCCTCAGGAGTGTTACAACTTTTATATGTATAGGTATGCAATGTACCTATAGGTGAGAGTGCACGTAGCGATCGGTAGTAAGGCGTCGACATACTTTATATGACCACGTCAACCAGACGGATAGTAGAGTGCAGTAGAATGAAAAGCGTACTAGCAATAGTAGTAAAAATACGTTATCCGATAGTAGCGTATACTATCGTATATATATATATATATATATGTATATATGAATTTGTATGAATGAATAGCGGATCACGCGCACTATCGAAGATAGTTTCACAACGAAAAAGGCCATAGCACTGAAGGCTAAATAAAAGGTAAAAAAATATAAATACGGACATTTTTTTTGTTTCCTTTGCAAATACCATATGTTGGTATTTTTTTTCAGCTATACGTATATATATATATAAGGATTTAAATACAATAACATATGGTCATTTATTTATATCCAATAAATAGAAGACAAATAATTTTAGAATATTGAATTAAGTTCGATTAAATTTGATTTTCTTTTCAATTTTTCATGAATAGCAATCATTAAATTATATATATTTTGTTATCATAGTCTTCTTAATAGTATCAATTATGCTCCGTTTATTTATCCATTTTCTTCTTTTCATAAGTTAAATATATTCGGACGGATCTTCTACATTTTTCAAAATAACCGATTCTATTCTCTGAAAAATGATGATGAAATATTATTATAATTAAAAATATATTTGAGTATATATAAAAATTATTAAATTGTACCGATCGCTCTTCAATTGGAGGACCACATTTTGTCATTTTATCTCGGATTACAGAAGAATCCAAACGTTTTGCTTCAGCAAAATCATCTATGAATTTTTTATATTCTTCTATAGGAAGTGTTTCTCGACTAGATAAATATATATGTATTTTGTTACACATATAAGGTGATTTTATAATAATTTATAATATTTTTAAATTATTGGAAAATAACTTACTGTAGATTATTAAAAGCTAATGCCGTATCAGCTTGGGTAACTTTATCATCAAATATTTGTGCTTGTCTCATCCATTTATCGCTTTGTGATAAAGAGATTCTTCTACCATCAGATTTTGGTCTACTATATTTTGCATAAGCAGTGAACTGCGATTCAAACGAAGCCATTTATTAAACTATTAATAAGATATTATTAATAAGAAATTAAATATAAATAAATTTTTAAATATATTAATAAATTATGAAAAATAATGTCCAATTGTTTTTTTTTAACTAAATTGTCAAACAAATGTATGACATATGTATATATATATATGTGGCGATAGTTATATGTTTTAGAAAAATATTTCAAAGTATATATGAGATAACTTCAAAATCAAAACAATGTTTATACAATTATTATTTGAAATATACATATATATATATATATCTATTTAATGCTTTACATTTATTCCTGTATCGCTAATATAAGAATTATATTTGCTACATCCCAAATATCAGTATAGGTAGTATCTACTAAATCAGCTAGTTTAGCCGCTATTCCTTTTGCTATATTATTATCAAAATATAAAAAAAATGTTGCACACAAGATGATACATCCTCCAAGAAATAATGAATTTGTTTTAAGAGCCATAAGGTTTCTCTTATCAACTTCAGATTTACTAATACGACCTTGCGCTAGACACTGCACATGTGAATACAATTGCTCGTGCTAAAAGTATAAAGTATTGTTATATATAAAATTTCTTTCTAATTACATTTAATAGACAAACCTGTAAATATGCTAAATCCAATAACTCTATAGAAGTTTCATATATATTCGATGTATGCCTAAGTCCTGTCGCAGCTAAAAGGACTTCAATACATTGTAATGGAGTACAGAAAGGCATTTTAAATCCTATAGTTTGAAATACTTTAAATTCCGAAGTAATAAGTATATTATTTGTATATTCCTTTTTTTTATCAATCCAACGTAAAATACATATTAACTGTCAGATATACAAAAATAACATTCCTCAGTAGAGAATAAGAAAGGATATGTTTTAATTTAAAAATTACTTTAATACCTGTGATATACTTAAACTTTTAGAATGTAAATCCATTTTACTAGCTAACTGAAGACAAGATACAAGATATAGCTTGGATTTATGAGAAATAGTTTGACATATTTTAGACCATGAAGCTTCAGTTGTCTCACTTTTATTTTCTGTTTTATATACTTCCCAAAAATAGTTGCACATAAATTTATCATATAAATGAATTGTTAAATATTTAGTATCTGTTCCTAGTTCTAGGTGACATGTTATTTTGAAAATAGCATTTATAACAGATGCTGGAATCCCTGAAAACAATAATAATAATTTTTATTTTAATACAAATTTTAAAATGAAATTTTGTATATATGCTGTGTCTCTAAATTTCTTTACCTACGAATGGCATATAAAATTCATCTTCAGCTCTAACCATATTTTCTTGTTCTTTTATAGCTTCATGAAGTTGTTCTAACCAACCGTCTATTAAGGGATCTGAAAATAAAATTTAATGAATAATTTGTTAATTTTGTCATAAAATTTTTGAATTATTTATATTTTTTTTTTCTAATATTTATCACATAAAAACGTATTCCAGTCAAAATTTCTTACATGCAAAGTGTGTGAAACGATAGTTATACATTAAACATAGCAAAAATTGTAAATAGTAATTACCTATATAAGCGCTATCAAAATCCATCATATAATAACGTTAAAAATATCTATCGATTAATAATCTAAATTTTTATTTAAATATTTTCATTAGTACAGGTGAACTATTCCACAAACTGAATACTTTAATGAATTTCACTATAATTATTAGACGTGAGTATACCTTTTGTCTGATAATTATTTGTTTTGTAAATATGTATAACAACAAAATCTGAATTATATTATTCATTATTTACAACTATTAACTATCGAATAATAGTATTCGTATGACTTTTAATACACATACACACCCACACATATATATATTATTCTTTTTTAATATCATCATTTTAAGAGAATAAAAAGCTTTTTACTAGTTAAACGTTTCAAATACGCCGCCTTTGCGAAAGGCTTATTTGATTGGTCGTTTAAATTTACTTCAATGAAAGAGATTTATAATAATTTTTAATAATTTTCTCAATTACTTTTTGTTTTTTGATTGGATTAAACAAATAAATTTATTTGTTACATTACGTTATGGTACGTAATTTATACGAGCATTCAATAATTTTACGATTTTTTATATGTAATACAATTTATATATGAATTAAAATACACGATTTTGTGAATAGCGACCAATCAGGACGAAGTAATACAAACTATATATTTAATTGAATAATATTTATAATTATTTTTTGCAATATATATTTTCATTGATATATTTTTATTTTAATGATTGCAATTATATTTAAAAAATGTTATTAACGAATTAAAAAACTATGCTATAAGTAATCAAAGTTTATTAATTTTACTGCGCAAACGCCGTAATCTAATCTTGATTTACTCGTGAAATATCACATAAGCATTAGAATGGATTGGTGTAAATTAAAAAAAACGTGGGGATAATTATTAGAAGAAATATTGAGTAAATTCTTTTTTTTTATAATAATATTTTGCAAAATACTTGATAATTAAAGTTTTGTAAGTTATCATATTAGAAAAATTAATTTTAATTTATGCCGGTGTTTTAGTGTAATATCACAGTTTGTTTAAAAAACGTATAAATATTCGTAATCAGTATTTAATTTTATTGAAATAATATATAATTGTTTTATTTAATTTCTAAAATACAAAGTTAATCGTATCGTGCGATTACATTTATACTTTTATATACATTGAAAGTAGTAGATGTGGTCTTTAGGGTTATAATCTGTGTATCTTGTAAACATAATGAATACATTAATATCGCGAACTATTAATTGCTTAAATAGATCACCAAAGAATATTTTTAATAAGGTATGTTAGATATATTATCAATATATTATCTTTCATTGATATAGCATAAAAATATATCTTTTATTATAGGTTAGACAAATCAGCAGATCAAGTGTTCATAGAGAGATAGGAGTACCATCCAAGCTTGATAATAGAATTAAAAAGAAATCTCCAATAACATGGAAATCTTTGACGGTTTCGGCAGGTATTGGATGTGTTCTTTTAGGATATTTGTATTATTTGCAAAAGGAAAAAGAAAAAGCACAGGTGCGTGAAAGAAGACGACAGTTAGGAAAAGCTGCCATCGGTGGAAAATTTGAGTTGGTTGATAGCGAAGGGAAAACTGTTAAATTGGATGATTTCTTAGGAAAATGGGTTTTAATTTATTTCGGTTTCACTCATTGTCCAGATGTTTGTCCTGATGAACTTGAAAAATTAACATTGATTGTCGATCAATTAGGTAAATATAAAATAATCGCTTATAAAATTCCTCTTTGAGATTATAAGTCTCATTGTTAGTTTACATTTTCCTATTACAGAGAGCGAATATAAGTTGAAGGTTCAACCAATTTTTATATCCGTTGATCCTGAAAGAGATACTCCTGCCATAGTAGGAAAATACATAAAAGAATTTTCACCTAAAATTCTTGGCCTTTCTGGTACTCCTGAACAGATTGACAAAGTTTGTAAAGCTTATAGAGTATATTACAGTAACGGGCCTAGAGACGTGGATAACGATTACATTGTTAGTAAATTATATTTTCTCTGTGATCATATTACATATTATTTAAATAATTATTTCACAAATAATATTTTCTGTGTTTAGGTTGACCACACTATCATTATATATTTAATTGATCCAGAAGGCTTATTTGTTGATTATTTTGGACAAACGCATTCAGCTGAACAAGTAATTAATAGTATATTAATTAGTAAATCTAAATACGATCAGTATTTAAAGGATGTAAAAAAATAATTTGTTGTTATTATAAATGACCATGGTTATATAACTATGTAACTGGTTATGAATATAGTTACTTATCCAGAAATTGCTATATTAATATAAATAATAATAATTAAAATAACTGTTTATTTGTTTTATATATATATATGTAAAAGAAAGTAAAACCGTAAGTAAACTTGCATTCATATCATTCCTTATGCGTGTCTATAATTGTTAAGATAATAGAAACAAAAATAAGTATAAATTAAATAATTTATAATATAATTAATAAATA